GTGTAATATGCTGTAAAAATGTGGTATCATTCTATCACTTCCTGTTATGACAGGCCAGTCCATACTCCTGCTTACATCAGGCATCTAATGCAGTGAAGTACGTATCTTTTTCAAGCAGGCTGTACCTTAGTTTGGCAGACGCTTGTAGCTGGTGGTGGCACATTTTACTATTTTCAAGATTCTTCCCCCCGTTCTCCCCTCCCCAACTCAATTCAAGGCCTTGTACAGTATTTTATTTCAATATTTTTAATTCTACTTTAATGTTTTTCCATTCAAAAGGAGCTTCCTGTTTACCACAAGGAGCTGAGCACTTGAATAACTCCTGTAATACACTGGATTCTTAGTTAAACAGGCCTTGCTCAACTATGTGTTTATGTCTAAAGATTAAAATGAATTTGGCACACTTACAAGTAAGATACACAAATGAAACAGAGTCTCCACATTTAATACAGGAGACCAGGAAGATTTTAAAAACAGGTAAGAGGAACAAACTAATGGTTTCTTGCTTGACGACTGTATTACTGAAATGGCTAAAAGTCTTAAAAGAGATGTTCTGTGATAATAACTCTGTTGTGGGGGAAGCAAATTTATTTTAGAATTTCAGTACAGATTACATCAGACTTTGAAATGATTACTTTTTAAATGTGGACTGGGGACAGTTAAAACAAACAAGAAGAGTTTGTTTAAAGAATATTACACTGTTGCTTTTTAAAGGTATAAAAGAAAGCTCACGGCGAATCCTTAACTGAGTTTATCTGTGGCATTAAATATGTTTATACAAGGACAAGCCCACTGATTTCAGTGCAGCTCACATCAAAGCAAATATGTCTAGCTTTACAAAACTGTGGTTTAAAATATATTGGCTAACCAGTCCCGCACCTTAATTCATTCTTTTAAATCCATATGCAATTAACGGCACAACACTGTCATATGTGCTGTGCTTTAATTTGTTTGAAAAATGGCTTGAAATTCTAGTAGCTTTAATGGGAGGGCCATAATCCACTATTCTAACAGGTTCTGTCACCACTGATATCAGAAAGAAAGGGTGGGACCAGCAGAAGAACAGCTTTAAAGAGCTCCCAACATAGCAGAGAGATTATGGAAATGTAGCATAGAAGAAAAATTAGTTGCTACTGTCTTGTTCATTAAAAATGCTGGGAGAGGCTCTTGAACTGGTAACTTGGTCAGATGGGAGACTCACAGTTACTCATTTTTATTCACAAAAGTATGTGATTACCACTTTTCAGTCAGTTTCTCTGATGCATTACACTGAGGCTGTTATTTTTAAATAACAGTAATTTTTCTTTTTAAAATACTGCGTGTAGATACATCTATTCAAGCAAGCTTTACAGTAATTTCCAGTAATTATTATAATGGTAATAACATAATATTACACAAATGAAGAGCAGTTCAATAAAACAAGGTAGAGAAACTGTTAATTCCCCCAAATCAGCTGAAATATTTTTGTAAATTCCTTGTGAAAAGCCAAAGAAACTGTCTTTTTGGACTCCATGATCACTGCAGATGGTGACAGCAGCCACAAAATTAAAAGACGCCTGCTTCTTAGCGATGACAAACTTAGACAGCATATTAAAAAGCAGAGACCTCACCTTGCAGACCAATGTCTGCATAGTCAAAGCTATGGTTTTTCCAGTAGCGATTTATGGAAGTGAGAGCTGGACCATAAAGAAGGCTGACCGTCGAAGAACTGATGCTTTTGAATTGTGGTGCTGGAGGAGACTCTTGAGACTGGACTGCAAAGAGAACAAATCTATCCATTCTGAAGGAAATGAACCCTGAGTGCTCACTGGAAGGACAGGTCTTGAAGGTGAGGCTCCAATACTTTGGCCATCTCATGAGAAGAGACATCTCCCTGGAAAAGACCCTGATGTTGGGAAAGAGTGAAGGCAAGAGTAGAAGGGGATGACAGAGGATGAGATGGGTGGACAGGTTCATCAAAGCTACCAACATGAATTCGACCCAACCCAACTCCAGGAGGCAGTGGAAGACAGGCGGGCCTGGCGTGCTCTGGTCCATGGGGTCACAAAGAATCGGACACGACTTAACGACTAAATGACGACAGCAACAACAACAACAACAACTGATTAATCAGATGCCCTGATGGAGGCTAAAGCAATCTTTTCTTCCTGATCTTTCTTCAAAGAAAGACCCACATGGCCTTTTTCGAAAGCTAACTGTGAGCCTTGAAAACAGGGTACATGTGTCCTGTATATCTTGCTTTCAATGCAAAAAGCACTTTCAAAAGTGCTGTTTAGTGTCAGCCTTGAAAACAAGGTACTTGTATCTTACTTTCCATGGGAACAGCACTTTCAATATGCTGTTAGTCTGGAATATAAAGTCTGTGTGCTGCACCCATTTTGTTTTGAAAAAAAAAAAGAACAAGGAAGAAAAGATTATTTTTGCCACTGTGATAAATTGAGCAGCATGGGCTACTTCCATGTAGCCTACAGATCACCTGTTGCTCATCCTTGGTTTACAGGGGGAAAGGTGAGAAAATGTCTGGCACTGGAAACAGTTGAGGATACCTTTACATTTTATGCAGCATATATATAAACAGCTAAGATCTACTCATAGTACAAAAATAAGATGTAGGGTGCTTCCAAACACATTTCCTTGTGCTACCAATTGAAAAGCTCTATACAACTATTCTTGCATTCCCTCCTTAATGGATCTTTTGAGCTACTGGAAGAAAAACACAGGAGGGCTACTAATGGAAGACAGTGCCATCTGGATCCTGCCCCCTTCCTGTAATAATTTCATACTGGAAGCAAGGCATCTGCACCCTATCTTTTGTCTGGAAACACCTTAAGTGTGGGGATATACTGCTTCATCCAGTCATTTTTTCAGAATATGGTAGTTGAAAATATGATGAGTGAAGAATATGGCAGAAATGGAGATTGCAAATGGGTATCAAAGGTAAGAGCTGAACAGACTGGTGAGCTTCCTTTCTCCAGGAGACTTCTGGAATTATAAAATGTCATATATGCAGTTGGTGCAGCAAAGTTTCCTGTATACTCTGGAAGCACTACAGAGGCTTCAGGGTGTACATTATTCGCATGTGACCATAGGTGCAGACCTAGCTGATTTGCCTGTCACCCACAGATGATCAGGTAAGTGCCACATAACAGGACTGATTTAAACTTCCATTGGGGTGGCAAAATTTTGACCCTCCAGTTATTCTGGCATACAATGCTTGTCACAGTTCCACCCTCCATAGACAATAGCAAGGGAAAGTATCTTTGTTGGGACACGAGTACATGATCCTCACCTCTGTCTGAAATGCCTTCCAAGCCAAGTCAGGTAGGTGAATTAGTATCGTGTCAAAAGTCTCTGAGATTGGGCTAAATATAATACAATACATGTTATTAATCAATCTTGATTGCTTAATGCACTAGTTGTCAAACCTGTTCTTTGCTGTGGCTGAGGCTATAGTTCATTCATAAATCGAGAGGCAGAAAATACACACATCTGTGACCATCAAGAGTCCCTCGTGGTCATCTTTGGGAGAAAAAAACTGATCTGAACAAATATGCACTCTGTTATCTAAATGCTGTAGTCACAGATACTGTCACCGGCAAGCAATTCTTGTAGTGGAGGCAGAAATTCCTGCTACCATAGATGAATGGTTGGTTTCAATAAATTTGTCCCTACAAGTGAATTCTAGAAATTATCAGTAAAGCTACATGGATAAGAAGTATTGTGTGAACAGATTGAAGGTAGGAAAAACAGTTGCTGCTTATTCTTGACTAGCAGCATGAAGAATCTGGCCTGCTGGGACACTACTTTTTTGACCTACTATGAGATAGGAATGATTCACTACTGAAAACTGAAATAATCATCATAAATTTTTATTAACTGTTATTCAAATACAGTGCATGTAAAAATATCGTGATGGAATTCTACCGCTGCCATATAGGTAGCAGCATAGATTTTTGCTTTACCCTTAATGTTTTCAGATTTTAAAAAGCATGAACGTATCTTGGGGGGGGGGAGGGGCTGACCATGTGTCTTTTCCTAATAAGCTTTGTTGCCAAGCTCATAAGCTTGTAAAAGGAGCTTTCAGGACAATGGCAACTGATCTGATAGAACTCCAGTGCCTGCTCCTCTACTTTTGTGAAGATAGAATCTTTCCTGGTGTACTTTGCCAAGAGTGTTAAATGGGGGCATTTGACTGTTAAAGAGTCTGTTAAGTCTGTTAAGACTGTAAAGGTGACAAAACAGTATGGAGCAGGAAATGAAGGAGGTTCCGCACACCACCTCTTCGTGGAAAAGATTGGGAAGAAAACTAAAGTATGTCCCAGCCTCTTCAAAAGAAATCTAGATGCCTTGGAAGGGAAAGTGGCAGCCATACAGGTGCCCACTGGACAAAGAGGCTTTGTGTGACTGAAGTATTTTAACAATTTTTCAGAGGCAGGTATCTGTATCTTGTATTACCCTTTTATCTTTACAGTATGTTAAAGCAATCCTAAACTGGGTTTTCAGCAGGTGACAGGGAGCACGCTGTAAAGCAGAGGAGACTTTGGACTGGTCTATACTGTCTCACAGCAGTATGGAGGAAAGTTGCTTTGGTTATGCCCTAATACTTTCCTCAGCCCACCCCGCCCTCCGGGATGCATCCCAGGCAGATGAAAAATACCACCCGCTTAACTTGACAACGAGCGGGCATAGGGTGGTCGTCAAGTGGGGGTGTCACTGTGCAGGGGGTCTAAACTGTGGAGCGCGCGACGTCAAGGGCGATGGTGGCGGGGAGGGAGGGAGGAGCACTCTGCACATGCCCCAGAGCCACGCGTTCAGAAGCATGATTCCTCGGTTCCGCCAGCCTGAAGCTTCAGGACCCTGAAAGGGGTGAGCCTACTAGGGCGGCCGGTCCCCCTTGTAGGCAAGCCCTCGCCCTCTCAGCTGCCCCCCCACACACACACACACACTCTCAGGCTCCCACCAGGAGTCAGCAGGGCGCCCTTGCCGGCCACACCACTCACCTCGTCCCCTGCGCGGCCGGGGCTCCGGGTCCCGCCAGGCCAAGACCCCCCGTTCCCGGTCTAAGGTGACCTCCCGGACACGCTGCCCCAGCATCAGCGACGAGGTGAGCCGGGTCCGCCGGCCAGCCGGAGGGGACCGCTCGCCCATGGCTCGTCAGTGCCTTTTTTCCCGCGGTTGAGGTGACATGATTGAGACTCCGGGAGAGGGGGCGCGAGCTGGGCCGAAACGCCGCCCCCCGGGAGGTGATCGTCGCGCGGATGCCCCCGCCCCGCGCGGGTCCCGTCCCGACGTTTCAGAATCTGTTATCCTTCAGAATTTGCAGCGCCGCCCGCGGGGCGCATGCGCGGAGGGGGGGTTGGCGCATGCTCAGCAGCTGCTACTGACGCTTCCGTGGCCCTCAACGGGGATGCCCACACTCCCTTGTGCCGCTTGTTCTGCGGGAGAAGAAAAGG